GAGCCTAGAGGCAGGGTATAGGAATCCAGGAGACCTGGGCAATGGGCAGCCAGGGCGAGGGCACAGGCCGGGAAGACGCACGGGTTGCTGAGCCTGACAGGTCTAGTTTTCTGCCCCGCTGCTCTGCGGGGCTCAGGGATCCGGCCCCTTCTTGAGCCCGGCCCTGGACGGACCGGAGGAGGGAGAAAGGGCTCCCGGGCAGCTCAAAGGCGTCCGAGCCTCGCGCGCGCACGCTCAGCCCTTCCTTCCCTTCAGTTCGTCACGCCCAGCCTGCACTTGGACCCCAAGCCCTGGGCCGCGCACGTGGAGGGGGCGGCCGCGGAGCGAGCCCACCTGAGGGGGCGTGGTCGTCGCCTCGCGCCCGGCGCGAAGGAGTTAAACCCCGCGGCCCCGCCCCGCCCCTGGCAGGCCGCGGAGCCTGAGCCCCAACGGCGGAGCCCGAGCCTAGCGGCCGCCGCCCGCCTCCGCCTGCGGGGAGCCCGCCCGCCCGCCCGCCGGCGCCCGGGAGTGCCGCCGGTCCAGGCCCTGCGCAGCGCGGAGCGGAGCGGCGTCAGCCCGGGCCCAGCGAGTCGGGGCGGCGGGGCGGCGGGGCGGGCCCGGCACCTCGGGCAGGTCCTCCATTCTCAGCGCGGGAGCGGGTGTCCCGGCGCCCCGGATAGGGCTGGGCCCGCGCCCATGGCGAGCGCGGCCTGCCCGGGCCCCGGGGACCCTGCCATGTGAGGCAGGCCCAGGCTGGGGGCCCGGCCATGGCCGGGGAGCGGCCCCCGCTGCGGGGCCCTGGGCCCGGGCCCGGAGAGGCGCCGGGGGAGGGGCCGCCAGGCCCGGGGGGCGCAGGCGGAGGCCCGGGCCGGGGCCGCCCTTCCTCCTACCGGGCTCTCCGCAGCGCCGTGTCCAGCCTAGCGCGAGTGGATGATTTCCACTGCGCCGAGAAGATCGGGGCTGGCTTCTTCTCCGAAGTCTATAAGGTAGGACCTGCTGAGAGGGCAGAGGGGCGGAACCCAGTCTTCCATAGGAGGCTAGAACTCGGGGGCCCACAGCCGGGATAAAGAACCCCAACTCTGACTTGCCGCCCCCAGGTTCGGCACCGACAGTCAGGGCAAGTCATGGTGCTGAAGATGAACAAGCTTCCCAGTAACCGGGGCAACACTTTACGGGAGGTGCAGCTGATGAACCGTCTCAGGCACCCTAACATCCTAAGGTGAGCAGCCCCAGTCTCTGGCTGGGCAGCTTGCTCACTGGGAGGGAAAGGGAAACACCCCTCTTGCTGAAAAATGGGAACCCAGCCAGGGCTGGGGCTCTTAAGCCTACCCTCCTGTCTTCCCCATCTTCCAGGTTCATGGGCGTCTGTGTACATCAGGGGCAGCTGCACGCTCTTACAGAGGTGAGGACAGGCCAGCAAGCCAGAACCCACCCCTGCCACCAAGGGGAAAGGGAGAAGGGTGCCTGGTGGATCTGCAGAGGCACAGGACCTTCACCCAGGGGAAGCTTCCTGAACTTCGGGCAAACCACTTTTAAGAGTCCTCAGCTGGTCTCTCATTCTGTGTATTTCCTAGAACAGTGCTGTCCCATGGAGCTTTCTCCAGCAATGGAAATGTTCCGTATTTGTGCTGTCTGATAAAGTTGCCGTTAACCACACGTGGCTAGCTTAGAGCATGGGAAATGTGGCTGAAGTGACTGAGGAACTGAATGTAGTTATTTTTTAATTTAATAACTTAAAGAGCTGCACATGGCAAAGTAACTAGTGCGCAGCCCTAGAACAGGAATGGGAAACCCCAGATCACACACTCCCCCTTCTGACCCTTATTATTCTCCTGGTATCCCCTGGCTTATTAGCAGGAGGCCTGCAATACAGACTGAAACCTTAACGTTTATTTCCCTTCTCCTACCCCTTTGCCCCAGTATATGAATGGGGGGACCCTGGAACAACTGCTCAGCTCCCCAGAGCCTCTCTCCTGGCCAGTCAGGCTCCACTTGGCTCTGGACATTGCCCGGGGCCTGCGATACCTGCATGCCAAAGGTGTATTCCACCGAGATCTCACATCCAAGGTAGGATGGCCAGATGGGTGGAGACATGAAAGAGGGTTTGAGACTATTAGGCCGTAACTGGTGTTGGGATGTGGACAGTAAGTCTACTAGGATATTGGAATGGCAAGGCAGAGAGAACATGGCGGTGGGGGTGGGATCTGGAATGAGGGGAGTCCTCCAAAGCACTGAGTAAGTATCACACTGCAGTGCCGGATATGTTGCAGAATTGGGGTACCCTGGACAAAGAAAATGGGTTGGGGTTATGCCATAATGATGAGTTGTTAGGTTTATATTGGGAGACCAGAGAGCATATGGTGATGAGTGTATGAGAATGCCTATTTGTGTGTGTGTCAGAACTGCCTGGTCCGACGAGAAGCCCAAGGATTCACGGCTGTGGTGGGTGACTTTGGGCTGGCTGAAAAGATTCCTGTGTATAGGTGAGGTGATCCTGTTACCTAAAGCCTCCCAGAGGTCCCCTACTGAAGTAAAGCACCCCCCTGGGATATTTCCCTTGGCATGGGGAGTGGGCTCACCTCATGCCCTTTTGCCTGGGGAGGATGCCTGAATGGGATGTTTCTGACCACCGTGCCCCTGCCCCTGCAGGGAAGGGGCAAGGAAAGAGCCATTGGCTGTGGTGGGTTCCCCATACTGGATGGCTCCAGAGGTGTTGCGGGGTGAGCTGTACGATGAGAAGGTAAGCCAATCCTTCAGGGCTCCAAGGCTCTCCAGACACCCTTGAGATGCATCTAAGGTTCCATCCAATGACAGCCCTGCCAGAAGTTCAGAACCTCCAAGAGCCCCTTGGCAGTCACCCTTCCAGCACATGGAAACTAACAAGATTACTTCCCTACCAAATTCTGACCTATTTCAACAGAATTCTCCAATGAAAATTGTCAGTTCCTCCCCCTGTTATTATCATGTTCTCCTTTAGGCTGATGTCTTTGCCTTTGGGATTGTCCTCTGTGAGCTCATTGCCCGAGTACCTGCAGATCCTGACTATCTGCCCCGCACTGAGGTAACTATCTCTAGGTGAAACAGGAGGAGATTTCAGACTGAGTGGTTCATACCTCAGGAAGGTCTGGGAGGTGGAGGGCCTTGTAGGGAGGCAGGAGGACAGCCGGAGGGAGGCTGACCGGAGGCCCCGCCCTGACCCTACAGGACTTCGGCCTGGATGTGCCTGCCTTCCGAACCCTGGTGGGTGATGACTGCCCGCTGCCTTTCCTGCTCCTGGCTATCCACTGCTGCAGTGTAAGAGCCTCGCTGTACCTCCTGGCCCCCTGCTCCCATTCATGAGCTGCCATGGCTTCCAGGCAATGGGAGGAAAACTCAGGGACCCTCTTTCAGAGGACTGAGTAAATCTGCCCTGTCTGTTCATCAGATGGAACCCAGCACCCGAGCCCCCTTCACTGAAATCACCCAGCACCTGGAATGGATCCTGGAGCAGCTGCCTGAGCCAGCCCCCCTCACCAGGACTCCCCTGCCACACAGTCAGGGTAAGTGACCATGAACTTGGCCCAGCAGAAGTCCTTTTGACACTCTCCGCCTTAGAACTCAAGAGTTATCTGGGGGAGGCTAAGTGGATTTTAGTTGGAAAAGCTGGGAGTCAGCGTGGGGTGGGGTGGGAAGGGAAGACATGTCAAAGAAAATGTTTTCTATTGCTAGAGCCTGCCTGAGGGAGTGGAGAAAGGAAAGGTGAGGTAAAAGGAGGCTGGAGGTAACTTTCCCCCTTTGCCAAGCACCTTTGGGGACTCCCTTTTCTAAATCTAGTGCCAGCAGCCTTCTGGAGAATAACAGGTCCATAGGAGCTCTGATCCAATGCTGAGAACAATGATCACAGACTTCTCTGCCTACAGGGTCTCCAAGGGGAAGTTCCTCTGCCACGCTTTCCAGACCAGACCCCCGGCTCTCTCGAAGCCGGTCAGACCTTTTCCTGCCCCCATCACCAGAATCACCCCCCAACTGGGGGGATAATCTGACACGAGTCAACCCTTTCTCACTACGGGAAGACCTCAGAGGTGGCAAGATCAAGCTCCTGGACACACCCAGCAAACCGGCCACCCCGCTGCCCCTGGTACCATCATCACCTTTACCCTCCACCCAGCTGCCCTCTGTGACCACTCCGGAGACTTTGGTCCAGCCTGAGACACCTGCCCGCCGCTGCCGCTCATTACCATCGTCACCAGAGCTTCCCCGACGTATGGAGACTGCACTGCCAGGCCCTGGCCCCCCCGCGGTGGGCCCCTCAAATGAAGAGAAGATGGAGTGTGAAGGCAGCAGCCCAGAGCCAGAACCGCCTGGGCCAGCTCCGCAGCTGCCCCTGGCTGTGGCCACAGACAACTTCATCAGCACTTGTTCCTCAGCCTCCCAACCCTGGTCTGCTAGATCAGGACCCCCCCTCAACAACAACCCCCCAGCCGTGGTGGTGAACTCTCCGCAGGGCTGGGCTGGGGAGCCCTGGAACCACGCTCAGCATAGCCTGCCCCGGGCAGCAGCCCTGGAGCGGACAGCACCCTCGCCGCCCCCTTCGGCTCCCCGGGAGCCAGACGAGGGGCTGCCCTGCCCTGGCTGCTGCCTTGGCCCCTTCAGCTTTGGCTTCCTGTCCATGTGCCCCCGCCCCACCCCAGCTGTTGCCCGCTACCGCAACCTGAACTGTGAGGCAGGCAGCCTCCTCTGCCACCGAGGGCACCACGCCAAGCCTCCCACGCCCAGCTTGCAGCTGCCTGGGGCACGCTCTTAGCAGTGGGGCCTGTGATCTCAGGCCTCCAACTCTGGCCTGCTGGACACCTTGTGAGGACAGAGTACACTTGTTGGATAACACCAGCCCCACGTGGGCTGACTGACTCTTCTCCCGTATAGGGGAGCCTCAGCATGGACTCAAGGGACAGAGCACTTTCTATCCAACCCCTGGGCGTGCGGTCCTGTGGGGATCACTGAACCAGACACAGCATTGCTGACACACAAGACTAACACGTGCGAATTATTTAAAATATTTCAATAAAACTGCCTGGCTGGCTCCGGGCCGCCCCATCTACTCAACCCATGCACCCTCCTCCCCACCCTCTTCTGTGGGAGTTCCTGAGGGAGGCCAAAGTCTTTTTCCAGAGGTTTCTTCACCCTCTTCCCAAGCACAGTCCAAGTTCTGAGACAGGGTTTCAGGCAGGCCACAGGCTGGCTGGAAGTGTTGGGGGTGGGTTAGCACTTGGCTGGGTCATGCAGAGATGAAGGAGGTCTGAGAATGCTGGAAGTAATGCACCCAGGTTAGGGCTGGCTGTCCGAGCTCTTGGCATGAGTTCTGAGCGGAAAGCATCACTAAACCTTCCTCTCCCCGGTCTCCTCCTCCACCCCCTGGACAGCCACATTTCCAGCCTCCCTTCTGTTCTAAGCCCTATCTCTGCCGGACCCACCCTTATATAATCGCAGGTGACTTTGGAACCCAAGGACAAGTTTTCCTCTGATCTGCGGGTCCCTCTACCCCTCAGACTTTCCCCGTCTCATGCCTCAGGCCCCCGAGCCCCCGGCAACTTACCCAGCTCAATGCAAAGAGTACCCATCTGGGAACCTAAAAGCTGCCAGTTCACAGATCCATGGAAGATGAGTTGCACATTTGTCTGATTGCCATAACCGTAGCCATTCTTTTTGTAAGATGACACAGTCTGAGGACTGATAATAGTACCTGCAGAATGGATACACTCTGGACTCCTTGCTCATCCTCCCTTCCTCCTCACTCTGTATAAAACCTAGCCCAGGGGCTGGGGATTTAGCTCAGCGGCATAAGCGCCTGCCTTGCAAGCAGGTAGTTGTGAGTTCAATCCCTGGTACCAATAAAAAGGAAAAAGACAAAAAAAAAAAAAAAAAAAAAAAAAAAACCTCAACCTGCACATGGCTATGTCTGCTCATGGTGCAGAGACAGATTTCTGGAGAGGAAAGTTCACCAAGGTCCCAAATACGAAAACTTCAGGAAGGGAACATGAGAGGACAGCCACCCTTTTTCACGGTCTCTAGTCCTGTTCTTCCAAGTTACTCCACTGTGCCCTGTTCACTTCCCTGAGCAGGGAGAGGCCTCCAGTGCCCAAGTGGCCTGGATGGAGAAGCCTTGCCAAGGGGTAAAAATTGGAAGCCTATGTTTTCGGCTGTGAAGCCCCAGCTAAATGCTCGGTTCCTCCCTCTGAAAGACGACACACATTCCCAACCCAGTATTTATTTTTTAAAGCATACGCCAGGGATCTCCAGGTACTGGGGATTAAAACAGAATGCCCTGAAGAGTTATTAATTGAATAGAGGAAACAAATAGGCAGTTATAACATTGATTTACAGAAGAGTTTGGGGAGCAGTGCAGGGGAAAGATTGTGTTACTGTGTCTATGAGAGCACTATGAAGTTGAACATACCCCAAGTTGCTCACAAACTTACCTAGACTTTAAATCCTCAGACCAACTCTGCCGGGCCTTCTGAGAGTGAAGGCCGATCCAATATGACTCTGAGACACTGCCTGACAACAACTTACTGTAGCTGCTGGGGAGCCTCTGCTGAGGAAAGATTGAGAGAGGCCCGAGATAAGCAGAGAGTGATGAGAAACATGGAAAAACAAAAGCCCAGGAGAAGGCCCATGAGTTTCAGCAAGAGGGCTGCACTCATAGTTGGCACATGACAGCTCATTGGTGACCTGTCCCTGCATCCTTCAAGTGCCACCCTTTAGTTCACCTCCCACATGGGCAAGAATTTCTGCCATCCCCTGGAGAGGAGTCATTCTGTGGACTGTTGTGGTCCCAAACAACCAGTCTCTTCCACTCAGCCCCCAGGGCTGGCATTTGTCTGAAAGACCATGAGGATCACAGAACCATTACAAAGCCCAGAGGGCTAACCAGAAAGCTGAAAGATAGATAAAGGCAGAAATGATTCAGGAGTTTCAGCTCTCAGGCCAACTGTAATCAATTAATAGCCACCTGGAGCACAGGGCTGAGAAGACACAGGCTGTTTCCAGGTGAAGTGGTGGACAGTGTGGCTACCACTCTGCACTCTGGAAGGGGAGCAAAGCCATGGTACACACACCAGGTGTGCAGTGCCCTTCCTCACCTGCCACACCTCCTCTTACCCTGTGGAGAAGGGTGTGCTTACATAATAATAAGTCAGACCGAAGGTGGCCAATGTGGATGACAGAGATGTACAATGATTTTTACTCTCCTCCCAGGTTTTCTTAGTAGCTGAAAAGTAAAAGCAGCGTCTCTCGTGCAGGGTCCATCCCATCGGACAGCAGGTGTCTGCAGAGAAGAAAGTGTGACAGCAGCAATGCTTGAGAGAAAGTGGAGACTCAGCAGCTTGCTAACAGATCCCCTTACCTCCACTCTCAAGGCCTTCTAGTCCTGGATCTTCACCATCTTTTTTATGTGGCCTCCCCTGGAAATGCCATACTTGAATATATTCCGTAAAATGCTAAGCATTCAACATTACTTAACAATCTGGGAGGTTTATTTTAACAGGGCCGGTTCTACCAGTTCTAACTTCTGAAGTATTACAGTCTACTCGAGTATTTTGCTTAATCTCATCTGCATTGATAACTGGTCAACAAGCCTCTAGTCCATCCATCCCATCGCTCCCTAAAGTGCTCCCCACTGCATACTCAGAACCCTCCGTCTGCTCCTGGTCACCCCCTCTCTCCACCCTTTCATAAGCAGACCACCTTGGTTCCTGCTTTGCTAAAATTCTCTTCCTCCCCTCCACAGTTCTATCAATGAGTACTCACCATTTCCCTCCTCTACACTTCAAAATTTATGTCATGTTTGTTTTCCTGGCTATCCCTGAAAAATTACCACCAGCCTGAGCTCCTCCAGTTCGCAGCCACCTCCCTCTATGGCTTTTGTTTATCAGTTTTATCTCCTCCACTCAAAAACCATTCCCTGTGCACTGGCTCCCCCTCTCCTGTCCTCAGTCAGTTTCCCCTTGACGTATTGTCCTGTGGTGACTTAAGGAAATAAAATGATACTGGTGTGGCCGCTGTGGGACAGTAGAGGTTGAGGATAAGTAGCACACTCCAGAGTGGGAATGAGCCCTGGAAGCCATTCAAAGACTGTTTTTATATTAGAGGAAGAAAACGCCAAGTAGTGTTCAGAGAAATTTTGCCTACTAGTTGTCTACCAAGTATCTGGTATGCTTGGAACATATACTATAGATTCCACTACCTTAGCAGAATGAATTTACCAGAATGACATGATCTTCACTGGGACAGCATGATCACATTTGTGTTTTAAAAGGATTGTCCTGGTTCTAAAATGAATTATGGATTGTGTTTGAGTAGGGGAGGGTGAGGTAGCTAGGAAAACCCTCAGAAAGATATTGCAATTATATTGGTAAAACATAGGATGGGCTGGGTGTGGGGGTACACACCTATAATCCCAGGATTTGAGAGGTTGAGGCAGGAGTTCAAGGCCAGCCTGAGCCATGTGGTAAGAGCCTGTCTCAAAAAACAAAACAAAATAAAATGGGCAAAAGTACAAGAGGGCATGTGTACTTGCCGTTGGAAAATGGAAGGAGTTGCTCTTTATGTGGCAGGAGATGGGGCACGCATGATGGAGAGCAAGCTGACCACTGCAGTGCTTGCCGGTGGGCCTTAGACTCTAGAGTTTCAGTGGCACTAAGCTGATTGGTCATACAATCTGTCGCTTCTTAGTGCAAGTCTGGTCTGTGGTTGGTTAGGTTCATCTAGGGTTGCATTCTATGAGTCCAGTGCATTAGGAGGAGAATGGACAAAAAGAGTAGCTAAGTGGTGGACCTCCAAGCCCAAGGACAGGAGGACAGGAGGACAGGAGACAGCTGGCAGGAAGGAAGGAGCAGAGGAGTTCACACATTGGATGCCTCAGTGGAGTGGAAAGAGTGTGGGGAGGTCTGGAGGGTGACCAGCTGCAGTCTGTAACCAGCATTTCTGCAGAGAAGTGTGACAAGATGTCGGTCCAGGTGTGGTATGGGAATGGTGGCAGCCATGGAATGGAATTGAGAGTCACAGAGGATCAGTAGGTTAAGGAATGTGGCCAGGGTACACATAATCTCTCTGTCTCACCCCTGGGGAGAGCATCTAGATGCTTCCTGAGCCAGGGAAAGCATAACCCTAGCCACAGGGTTGGGAGCAGTCTGGTCCCTTCGGACCTGGCACCCTTGCTAGAACCTCAGCATGCTCCGTTCCCTTCCCCCTGCCCACTGCCTGGCTTCCCGCTTTCAAAGTGGATCACACAGAATCCTGGTCCGCTAAAGCATAGCCCCTGGTAAGGTCAGCTGCCTTGACACACACCCAGACTACATAGCATGGCAGTTAGCAATTCCCAGGCTTCTGGAGAAGGCCAGGTGTCGTGTGATTAATATGAAGTACTATTCTACCATAATGGAAGATAAACGAGTCATTTGTAGGAAAATGAATGGCTCTTGAGAACATAATACCAGGTGAAACAAATCAGACACAGAAGGTTAAATATCACGTGGTTTCTCTAATACGAGAGGCCTGTAATGTAAATCATTTAAAGAGTAAATGAAGGAGAGCTGTATGAGACGGGGAGGTGAGCTCTGTGGGAACGGGAATGGGATCTGGGAGAGGAGGCGTGGGAAAGGGGAGTAGGAATGATCAAGATGTGATACCCCTGGGACGGAGGTAGTCATTATCGGTCACAAACATATACTAATAAAAAATAAATTCAAAGTTGTTAAAGAAAATGCATTGAAGCTGCTACCCTTGTCTTTAGAAAAGTGTACGACTGACCAACCTCACATCCAGTCCAAGGAGTTCCAGATCATTGCCACCCGTACCAACCAGATGAAACCTGAGTTTGCCAAACTGTTTCTGACAGTGTGAGATAGACCAGTAGACCACTGGCCGCCACCCTCCTTCCCCCAGGATTCCTCACAGCAGGACAAGTCCCCAGAACCCAGGGTGTGGCCTGTTCCTTCTCCCTGTAGACCAAGGTGGCAAGCTCATGTCAGCCAATACTCTGGTTCCCTGTCCTCTTCTCAAGCAACTCAGGGGTCCCGGAGAGCTGAAGGACCCAGCCACTCATGTCTCCTCACTTCAGTCCATCCCCGGCCACCTCTGCCATCTCCCCACCTCCAGAGCAGATACCTTCCGAAGGGCACGTGAAGAAGCGCCGCAGCGCGTCCTTGGTGGTGCTCAGCCTCCTCTCCAAGGCCTCCCTCTGCTTCTCCTCCCCTCGCAAGGTCTCCTTGGTCTTCTCCCCGTCCACCTGGCAGGTGCGGAGCTGCTCCTGGGCAGCCAGGTGAAGCCTCCGCTCCTCCTGGAGCTCTTCCTGACTCTGAGCCAGTGCTTTCCTGGACTCCTGCAGGTCCCCTTCCTTCTGCCCCAGCTGAGTTAATTTCTGGCGGAGCTGCTGCCACTGGCTGCTGTTGGTGGCTTCCAGAACCCTCTTCGTGTGCTGGAGCTGCTGAGAAGCCTGTAGATCTGTTTGACCAGAGAGAGAGATGCGCCTTCACGCTCCAGGACAGCAGCACTGGCCCTTTTTCTACTCCTCGAAGCCTCCTCTGTTCCAAGCTGGAACAGAAACCCTGGCTGCCTAAAGCTAAAGGAGGCTTTATACCAGGTACGGAGGACTTAGGGAGCCGGGCACTTAGGGAGACAGACCAGGCTGGGAGCAGACCTGGAGCCACGCCTGTTGGCCTAGTGATTATGGGCCCTGCTGAGGGAGAGCAGTTTTGGGGAACAGGCAAAGGAGGAGGTTGGGGAGCCAGGGAAGCAGGGGCAGCCATACTCACAGCGCACTCCCAGGCAGATAGTGGCCACCGCTAAGAGTAGGCAGGTGAGGAGGAGCCCGAGCAGAACGTATTGCAAGCAGGTGGCGGGGCCTTGAGGACAGAGATGGGGTGGGTGTCAGTCCCTGAAGGTCACGTATATTATCTTATGCTTTATGGATAGACTGAGGTGCTGAGTGCGGGGGAGGTTCTGGGAAACCACCCCTAAAGAACAGCAAAGGGGAATTTGTGGGTTTTGTCAAGTAGTGGGTGCTTTGCAAATAGGGATTACCAGACCAAGGGCTGGGGCCTCTCATTGGCTGGGATCTCTCATTGAGGGGCGCTATCCGATGAGAGTAACCAAACCTCAGACGCCTAGAGGCCAGGGGTGAGGGAGAGGGGCTGTGAACTGCGACCATCCGCAAGGGGGCGGGCTGTGATCCGGGTCAGCACCGTAGGATAGGCTGGGCCGGGTGGACCGGGCACGCGGCTGCTCTGCGGTCCCCAGGCCAGGCCGCGCCCCGCATGCTCGCGCCCCCCCCCACGCCCCGCCCTGGCACCCCTGTGACCCCCGTCCCGCCCCCTCCCCAGCAAGCTCGCGGCTGCGTGGGCAGCAAGGTGGGGCAAGGCAGGGCGACACCCACAGGGGAGAGTCCACGGCACACCCGGCGACGTCACGGGGCTCCACGACGCGGCGGTCGGCTCCGAGTGGACCCCTGCGGAAGGGGGGCGTCCGGTGAGGACGCGGGAAGCCCCGGGGGACGCCCCTCTGTTCGCCAGGGCCACAGTCGGCCCGCATCACCCTGCGAACCCGCTCGGATGCGTCCCCTTCTGTCACCTTCTGTCACCTTCTGGAGTCCCTGGCTGCCCAGACGCACTCAGCTCCCCCGTCACCCTGCAATCCTTATCTGCTCGCTGGGGCCCGGCCCTTGTCGCCCCCGCCCCTGCCCGTTGCTCTATTCGTCGTCGCTCGTCCTCTCTTTTCTCCACCTCCCCGTTTCCGGCTGAACCCGTCTCCCTCAGGGTTGCCCTGACCTGTTCCCCACCACCCACCGTCCCACTGGGGTCCCCGCCTTGCCCGGCTGACTCTATCTTTTTCCTCTGGCTCCCTTTACCCTGTTTTTGTTCCTCTCTTTCCCAAACACCGCCCTCCTTGCCAGTCTCTCCGGCCCAAGGCACCCCCTAGACACACACAACACACAGCTTAGGGTCCCCTTACCTGCTTGGTCCCCCACCCCAGACGGAGCCCCGCTCGCCCCGCCTGGAGCTGAAGGCACTTGTACATTCTCGTAAGTGAGTTCCCCATAGGCGTCTCCGTCCTCGTAGGCCTCTGCCTCTGCAGAGAAAAGGAACCCCAAAGTGGAAGTCAGGAATGGGCCATCACAAGGGTTAGGATGCAGGATCCAGGAAGACTCCTCCCTCCCGCTTACCAGGTCCTAGCCCGCAGGAGAGGCTTTTCTTCAGGGGAGCCTTCACAAACCGCAGGTCTGCATAGGTGACGGCCTCTGCCATGGTCCTCAGCACCTGTGCCCCTGCGGGCCTCCCCTCTCATCCACCAGTCCCAAGCCTCCTTGGCCACTCTGTCTCTCAGCCTTAGGCTCAGTGTTGTCTCTGTGACTGCACTTTGCCCTCTGACTTCCAAAAGAGGAAGATGTGAGCAAGTCTGACAGATGCGCCCAGTGAACCGGAAAGCATCCTGGGTCAGAGCCAGAGGGGAAGGGGAGGGATGCTGAGGTCCAGAGCACAGTGGTGGGGGCTGGGCAAGCGTGTCCCCTACCTTCGAGTGTCCTAGACCCCGTCTGGCCTCATTACTAAGGTCCACACACCTGTCCTGGTTGTCTGCCCTAATTCGCCCTGCCTACCCTCCTGGCTGCCAGTTCATCAATGTGTAGCTGGAACTCTGTCCAGCTGATCCCAGACCATTTCCCAGCCAGTCCTGCAGGGTAAGGCTCTGTCCTCCCATCAGACTGGCCTTAGCTCCTTGTCATTTGGGGGTTTCCAGTATGATTACAGATTCACAGAAAGGGGCTCCTTATTTGGAGGCTAAGTGAGGCCCCTGCCACCCTTCAGGTTGGGGTTTAGGGTGGATCCAGCTGCTTTCCTGCTAGCCCCACTCAACTGCTGCAGGGATGTCCTCCCTCCTGTGTCCTTCCCGTCAGCTCCTTGGGGTTGCAGGGAACACGAGACCAACTGATTTCCTAGCAAACACTCCAGACTCGCTTCACAGTTTCACCTGGCCCCTTCCCCTTTGCTGTCCAGATGAGCATATCTGGGGCCAGCCAAGCCCTTCTTTCTTCCACGTGGAGGCTGCCAGCCTGGTGTCCTCTGTGTCCCCACATCCAAGCTGAATCCAGTGAGCAGAGCCCAGGAGGCAGAGCCTCTGAAGCTGGCTTGGGCTGGGGCTAAGGGTGAGGGGCAGCCACTGTTGGAGCATGTTATAGTCAGAGGTTGTGAGGAGAACAATTAAAATCAGGACATGGAGTTTATAATATTATTTTATGATGGTCACCCAGAGTTAATACAAGAAACTGCCGGAAATCTGTCCACAACACCAAAGACAGAAAATTTAACTAAGGGCCCGAATCCCATAGCAATGTCCCACATGAGTCCAAATGAAGACCCAGAGCCTATGGCAATGACTCCCGTGAGTCCAACTGGAGGTCCAGAGCCCACAAGAAGGACTCATGCCAGTCTCTTTTACAGATCAGTGCTGGGAAAGCCCAAAGGTCAGTGGTGGAAGCTAGAAAGTCTCTGCCAGCAGGGTGAAGGAGCTGTGCTGGTAGGTGGAGGGTTCTGTGCGGGAGCCAAGAAGTCACGCTCACAACAAAAACAAGGGCTGTCCTGAAAAGCACCACAGCCCTCCTCAGCAACACGTAGGTCCCGAGCTTCTCCAACAACGTGCACAGTCGGGTACATGCCAGGCAGCCAACATGACAAGTTCATCCTGGAAACCAAGCAGCACACCTCTTCCCCTCTGGATCTAGGAAGCAGTGCTCCATGTGAGGACCAGAGCTTCCCCAGGAGAACCAGTGGCTCAAACAGCAACTCATAAGGGAACCCACAATGCCTCAACGCCTCTCTTCTCCTTCTCCACATCTCTATTTATGCTGGCAACTTTCCACAGGTGAAACATCTATGCTCAGTACCATGGTGATTTAATTCTGCTGGCGTTAAGTTGACCACTAGTTTTTAATCTATAACAGAGCACCTCAGGGAAAGTCTGTGGCAGTCCTGACCCTTGTGTACCCAGCAGGGGACAAGGACACCCACGAGCATAGAGCTACACACTGACCAAGAAGTGCTGCGGCTTCCTAAGTAGAGGTAAGTCAAAGAAATTTAAAGTTTTTCCTAGCCAGAGGTGATGGTGCACACCTAATCCCAGATGCTCAGAAGACTGAGTTAGAATAATTGCCAGTTTGGAGCCAGCCTGGCAAATATAGCAGGGCACTATCTTTAAAAAATAAATAAATAAAAATTAAAGGGTTGGGAACATACAGCTCAGCGGTAGAGATTGCCTAGCACGCACAAGGCCCTGGATGCAATCTCCAATACCACCACCACCAGAAAAAAGTTCTTTGTAAGGGTCCAGGAGCTGGGGATGTAGCTCAGTAGTAGAACTTGAGCACCACACCCTAGTGTCAGTCCCAGCACCCAAGAGATAAGCCCCAACATTGTCCCTTTACAGCCAGACCCATTTGTTGGGTCTGGAGCATTTGTTGGGGAAGTCCCAGGGGCTGAGAGGCCACTGTAGGTGGTGAGGGCCTGGCTGGTGGAGAAGAGAGGGAATCCAGGTAGGGGCTGGGGCCGCCAAACAGCCGGGCCATGGTTACACCTGGATGTTCTTTTACTAGGATGAGACACCTCACAGGGACCTCAAAAGGGCCTGCAGCTGTGGTGGGAAAGAGCTGAGGGCAGACACCGCATCTGGGGGTGTGAAAAACTTATGCCTTTATGAGCCACATCCTCCCACTCAGAAACCCCTCGAGCAGCTGTGGGCAAGAAAAAGGAAGGAGACAAATGTCCTCACCACACCAACAGTCCACATGTCTGGTGGCATGCGGCAGACACCGTGATGGGCTGTGGGAGCTCTGCAAGGCAGCATGGTCCAGCTTGCCCCAGGGAAAGGGACCACTGGGGCAGACCAGAGGCCCTGTCACCTGAAGAATGTCCCTGTGTGCACACACCTCGGCACTGTGTGGTGGGGCGGGGGCGGCCCGCGTGGAGGATGAGCTGTGCAGGACCGCGTGGGCTGAGGGTGCCTGTGGGAGCTGTTACTTTTTACAGCAGAAACCATGGACCATGTTCAGAAAAGTCACTATGGGTCATGGCAACAGATTCTGTAAGTACTTCCTCTCCGAGGCTCGCTGTTTCCTACGGGGACCCTGCAGCTGTTAACGGTCCCTGCCTGCTTAAACTTTCCAGCAGCCTAGTCCCCTCCCCCGAGCGCTCTGGCAGGTCCCCCCACTCACAGTGTGTGTACTGGCGACTCCCCGGGGACCTCAGGCCCGAGGGTGGGAGTATACAGAGCAGCTGGTGGCAGGGCTGAGTGGGGGCGGCCGGGCACTGCCTGTGAGGCTTACGGGGCCGATATGGGCAGTGTGGGGGCAAACTGCAAGGGTATTGGCAGAGCCTCCATAAACTGTGAGCAGTGACCCAGGTTTTAGGACCAACACACAGGGGCACATGGCCCGAATATCAGGGCTTCTATGTGCGCCCGGAAGCAGCGCCAGTGGGCATGGAGCCAACAGGACATTGGAGAGACTGGAGGAGCAGAAACCCAGGCCGCACTGGGCTGAGCCAAACCGAGCACCCTCAGGGCTCTGGGTATTTGCACTGGGCCTGGTCCGTACTTCTCTCCTCTTCTGCTACTTTGGTGATGGTGACCTGTCTCTCCATGACCTTCTGTCTGCCCTTCCGTCTCTTAAGCCACCCATGACCCACTTGTGTGACCAGAGAGGATTCCTGCCCTTCCTTCCCCGTGTGTCACATAGGTCTTTGTAAAGTTGACATCCACATTACACCTCAAGGCCGGTCATTGGAAAGGACATCTGTGACCGGGTTCAGCCCAAATGCCAGGAACACGCCAGGGGCCAGGGCTTTTGAGAGGTGCAGGGCCACATGCTGGACGTTTCCATTTTTCCAGAGCCATGTATCACATCTAAGATCATCAAAGCCTACTTGCGGTCTTCTGAGTTCTTTGTTGCTTTCCACAGGAAATGGGTCGTTAGAGTGGGGTCCCGACTGTGAGGGTCCCTGGCTTTGTGGGAAGAAGCTCCTCTGTAACAACTTCAGTGAAGTTCGTCAACATCAGGAACTCCCTAAACTCTGAAGGTCAGATTGTATCTGTCGTCATTACTGTAGCTCTCTGGCCTCTGAGAAGCCCTTGTGTATGGGCTGAGTGTGGACAGAATGATGAACTCCTCCAATGTCCATACCCTACTCCATGGAAGCTGTGAGTGTGTCAGTCCCCCTGACAAGATGTGGACATGACTATGGGCACTCCTTCGGATGGGAGACACCTTGTGTCATCCTGGAAGGCCCAGTCACTTCACATACATCCCCAAAAGGGAGGACTTCTGCCGGCCCTGAGAAGATTTGAGGACCAAATGAGGTCAGTGAGATGTTATGTGAAGATTCAACAGCAGTTTTTGGTTTTAAAGCTGGAGAAATCAAGTTACAAGCCCAAGAATACAAGCAGCTCTAGAAGCTAGAAAAGAAAGAAACAGACTTTCCTCGTGAACCTCCAGAGGTGTCAGCTCTGCAGACACCTTGATTTTGGTCAGAGACCTGTGTCAAACTTCTAACCTCTAAAACTGCAAGATAACCTGAGTGTGGTGGTGCACGCTTGTAATCCCAGCACTCAAGGCGGAGGCAGGAGGATTACTGTGTGTCTGATCACCATCCTGAACTACACACTGAGTTCAAGAGCAACCTGAACTGTGTAGCAAGTTCAAATAAAACAAAACAAAACCTGTAAGGTAATAAATGTATATTATTTAAGTCACCCAGTTTGTGGTAATTTGCTGGAGCAGCAAGAGGTAAGGTTCCTGGGCTGTGGAGAAAGCATGATATAAGGGAAAAAACAGGATTCGGTGGACAAAATACAGCCCTGCCACATATGTGACTTCAGACAAGTCACAGTTTTCCATTTTGAAGATACAGCATAGGCTAGACCGGAATCAAGAGCGTAGCTGCTCAAGGCCAGAGGTATACACTTTAGCAGAGGCCTCCTTAAGAATGTGTTTTGGAAGCCAGGTGTAGTGGTCATGCCTATAATCCCAAAACTCAGAGGCTGAGGCAAGAGGATCCCTGAGAGCTCAAGGCCAGCCTGGGCTACATAATAAACTCAAGGCCAGAAAAAAACAAAAACAGTGTCTGGGGCCAGGGACGTATCTCAGAGGGGCAGCACCTGCCTGGCTAGTGTGAAGCCTTGAGTTTAATTCCTGGTACCAAAAAAAATCAAAAAGAAAAAAAAAACACCAAAAAAAAAGTGTCTTGCTCTGGAGACATAGATCAGAGACGTGGTACTTGGCTGGCATGTGTAAGACCCTTGAATTAATCTCTAGTACCTCCAAAAAAAGAGAAGCTCTGTCAGGAGCTTCAGAGCCAAGACGGAGAACTGAGACAGCTGTCACAATCACTGAGGGCAGCA